GGCTGTTTGAATATAATCAAAGTACTTGAGAGTAGTTTGTTAATAAGAACCATAAAAGTTGCCCTTGGGGACTCCGGCTCTTTGCCGTAAAGATAAATGGATATTATTATTCCCCACAGTACACTGGCTTCTTTGCAAACTCATATACATACATTACATTGTAAATGGGTGGCTGGAAAGCTGAACCACACAGAAAATTGAAAATAAACAATGTTGTTATAGAACTAGCTTAATTGAATATAATTTTGAAAAATGTAGACTATAAAAGCTTTATATAAAGCAAATAAATCCACTTTCCAACTCCATTATTTGTGCACCTGACTCATCACAACTACAGTTACCAGTAGAAATAAGCTGTAGTACTTTTGGTCAAGCCTGGATACTCCAGACCTGACAAGTGTTTGTCACAAAATGTGCTGTGGGATATTTATAGGCCTTTTTCTACTCTGTCTTTAATAATGAGTACAGGCCTGCTGCTCTACTCTTATTTCACAAACAGTCTGTAAACCTTCTGTTTCTGCTTTTCATATCCTCTTTTCTACATTTCTGTAATATCCAATACATTCATTCATTGGATAAATCAATGTGGCTACACCTGTTTTGCCAGTAAATGTTGCATTGTAGTTGCTCATTGTGTATAAACTGCTGAAGAGCAGTGTGGGGCATAGGATCTGTACCATCCACTGATAACACAGTCTTTTTACTGCAGTGTTCAGTGGGCTGGAAATACTAGTGGTGTGACTGTGAAAATGACAACGTAAGTCTTTCATTTCCACTACTTTAGTCAAGACAAAAATACAGACAAGTGACAAATGAAATAAAAAAAAACTAAACAAAACAAGATAACGGGCTCTCTTTTCCTGAAATAGGGTGCAGTGCTAAACTCATGTCTAAATCCCAGGCACAAGGCACATATGGAGACATTCATCAATGTTTGGCCATTTCAGTGACCACAGAGGCATCACAGTTTTGTGTGCAGTGCCTGACTGATGTCATGATATGGAATATAGTGTATGAGAGGAAAGATTCTTTTCCTCTAGCTTCTTCTCCTATTGTGATAAAACAGTTAGTTGTAGAAGTATTGCACATAAATATTCACTCAGTAGTCTGCTAATATCACTGACCAGGCTTTGTGCATGCGAGAAAGAAAGTCTCTGGTCCTATAACCAGCAGCAGTTATATAACGTATTTTACTCACAGCTGCATCTAATTTTATAAATGCTTCACAGTTTTGAAACAATTACAAAACAAAAATAAGATTGTAATCATAGCATTTATGATGAAACTGATTGTAGTCCACCAAAGCGCACAGCCAGTGCATGTATAGCCCACCTTATCTTCACCTACAGCTGCTTTTGATGCAGTCATAAAATGAATGAAAATAAAAACAGAAGCAACTTATATCCCCAGATGTAATGAAGGTATGTCTCTGTGGAACTTTAAGAACGTGTAACTTAACAGTGACAGTAGCCACAGTGAGGTGAGACTGATTTTACCTGCTGCCTAACAGGATTATTCTGAGCATCTTCATGGTGTTTGTTATGTATCTTGGCTCATGAGCTGCTTTCACATGATTTTTGTGCACGTTTGTTTAATTAATGTATGTTTGACCTGCATTTTCGAAACACTGGCTGTAGATCACCTCTGGCTATATTCTGTAAGGACAGACAGACAACCCTGACATGTGCCAACACTTTGGTCATATTTTATAGCCACATACTGAAGACATGCTCAGCAACCTTTCTACACCATCACATATATTTTATGATACAGATAATTTCACAATAAACAGTTCACAGTGAATTCTGGCAGATCAGTTGTGAATTTAAAAGTTCATTTCAAGTTGGTTTGTCTATTAAACTCCATAAGTGTATTCAGTTATGGCAGGAAAACAACAACACGCAAAACACCAAGACATGTCAAAGGAAAACTGCATAATTCTTGCAATTGAAGTGATGCAGGAGCTATGACAGTAGGAACATAGAGCCCTTAGTCTTGTTTTTGTTTCATATAAAGTCCATGCAGTGTTTACAGAAAAGAGAAAAGAAAACAAGCAGGGGTCATTTTTCATGCTTAGAGTTGACTGACCAGTTCTTGACACAACAGAAGCTTATAAAACATACAGTAGCATGTATTCTCAGTAAGAAATGTCCAGTGTAACCACACACAGCATCATACTGAATATTGCAATACATATTACAATACATTATATATTTCTGCAGCAAGTAAAAGTGTTTGGCTGACATTTATAAGAACGTGAATCCCTTTATCACTGCAAAGTCCTGGAGTTGTCCGAGAAGGTTTAACATTTAAATAACAGAAAGGTTTACAGAAGATAATATCTTTGATTACATAACCTCATCACATATCATACAGTTAAAGCAGAGAGCTATTTATGGCCACACATTTGTGTTATCTGTGATTTTAATCCAATCTGTTAACCCAGCAGTCTACTGAAACGGCACTATGTGGTTGAATGACTGGACATAATATGACAGAAGAAACAAGAAAGGCAGGGATAAAGGCGATGCATCAGCAAGGCTTGTGAGGAAATAGATCAGTAACAAGTTCATTGGTATTTATGTTTGAGTGTGTATTTTTGTCAACAATACCAACCACCATTTATGTGGTGTTTTGTTTTGGAATTTGGCCTGTCTTATGCAGTGGATATTGAATGTCTGGATTTTCGTGATTTGCATTTTATGACTTAAAATCTATATGAGATATTGGAAAAATCTGTCAATCCCAGATTGTGACACAAATATAGCTGTACCTACCTGCAGTGTGTTGTAAGTAGGTAGTTGCCTGCAACTGGAGCAAAATATGTACAGTATGGTTTCTAATTATAATTCATTTGGAAAAGGTTAGTGGGGTGTTGAGAGCGCCAGGCTGCAGAGCAGCACTGTTCAGAGGCAGGTAGAGGAAGAGGAGGTGTGACCATTATAATGAACACAACACCGTAACTGGATGAACAGCAAACCCCCATCACTGCTGGGAGCCAAGGAGACTGACAGGAAGGGGGATTAAGCTAAATCAACACAAACAAAGACATACTTTGTATACAGTATGTGAGGAATAGCATGTTTTCCTCCGCATTGTCGTGGTTTGGGTGGTTGGAGTCAGTAATAATGATCTGTTTTGGTTTGGGGATGCCTGACTGGAAGCACAGGCAGGCGCGAGACAGGCGGTGACAGGTCCTGTATTCCTGAATATACAGAGTATTTTCATGTGTAGGTCTGATGTGGATGCTAAGTCTAGAAGACAGGCAGTGTATCTGGGAGAAGGGCTAAAGCCTGGCTTGCCTGCTATGCAGCATAAATGGGCCATGCTAAATTCAAACAGTCACTTGGCAGCAGATATCACCACAGTTACTATTGTGTCAGTGCCTACAAATTTATTTTAAATTCAACATATAATGTGAATGTGACTTTGTTAATACAACACTATACCTGAAGAACAGCATGGATGTTTGCTCGCTAAAGATTCAAACTGAATCGTTTACTGCCTGCAATGTCCCTTTTGTGTCTTCTGAAAAGTTAACATTTTCAGGCTTACCTGGCTTCCCTCTTGTAGTCAAATGTCTATTGTTAATGGTAAAATGTTAATGTGGAAGACACACATCATCATTTCAAATAAAATATCTTTACATGACCCCTCTTCTTCCTTGAGCAGTGAGAGCTTCACATATTAATCCACAGCCTACTGAATGTTGGAATGGAGGTGAACTCATGCAGGGAGCTGTAGATGTCTGACATGGCTACTGCTTGATGGCCCCTGGTGCACTGGGGGGAGGTCGCTGCTTATATTTGTCAAGGTCAATTAATGAATGCAGACGTATGGCTGGCAGGAACCCCAAAATGCCTCCAGGGCTCATAAATTATCCAGAATTATCCAGAAAACACATTAAAAGACAGAATTTGTTCTTTTCCAATTAAGATAATTTTGCATTTTCCCCCTCCAAATGCCTAGATAGGATCCAGTCAGGTGTATCCTACATCACTCCCTCTCCCTCCGTCCCTCCCTCCCTCCCTCCCTCCCTCCATCATCATCCTTCTTCCAGTCTGCTACACCATGCCTTGCCAGAGAACCACAGAAGGATGTCCTGCATGGGCTGAGTCTGTCTTACTTATGTTAATGTACAGTTCTCCTTGTCAGAGAGGGACACCTTGATTCGTCTTCTCACTGGTAAAACAAAAGAAAGAGGATTTTAAATGCTCCTCCAGGGGCTCAGCTGTGAGCCCCCCGCCCCATCTCCCCACCCCTGCACCTTTAAGGCAATGGAGAGGGAGAAAAGCGGCTTCGGAGAAGGAGGCGAGGGTTTATTCCACAGTGCTCTAAGGCAGGGCAGGTTATAAGCGCAGGGACCAGTGTGCGCAGTTTGTGTGCTGCTGCTGCTGCTGGAAGATGCGTGTGCTTGTTGCTTGTCGGATGGATATAGGTGGCGAAGAGAAGATGAGTTTTCAGCGCAGCTAACAATCAACTCCATGCGCTTTTTAATCATCGAAAAAACATCCAACTTTTACGCATTTTTTCCTTAAGATGACATGTCCGCCTATTGGCTTATAATTTATTTATTTGTTATTTATTGATTCTTTTCTTTATTTCGATTTTGGAGCGTTTTTGGTTTTGTTTTGTTCTTTTAACTATTCACCGTGGAGTTGCATGTGCGCATAGGCAGTTTGTCCTATGCGTCTCCAGCCTCTGACTCAGCAGCAGCAGCGGCGGCACAGCTCACCTGGACCGGAGCGCACGGAGCCCAGCTCCCTCATGTTCCTCGCAGAGCAGAGCTCCGACACGGCGGGACGGCTGCACTGAGGCCAGGCGCGGTGTGGTGCGGTCAGTCCGGAACAGTGGACACGCACAGGTGTGGATCATATACTACCTCCCGTTGTACCAGGAGACGCAGCAGCAGAAAGAAGCTCAGACCTCCTCCTCTTCATCTTCCTCCCAACGTGAAGGATTGAGAGAGAGAGAGAGAGAGAGAGAGCGAGAGAGAGAGAGAAAGAGGGGGGAGAGAGAGAGCGAGAGCGAGAGCTCTTTTTTCTTTCAATTGACTTGTTGAAGAAATAAAAGGAAGGAATTACAAGAAGAAAGAGTGCGGAGAGAAGAAGAAAAAGCATAAGCTTGGATATTGAACGGAGCGGGGCATGTGGATATTGGCTCTTATCTTTTCCCAGTGCATCTTGAATGGTAGGTGATGCATTTGTGTACGTTTGAATACAAGTTTATGTTAATTGTACCAGAACACCGAGTGTACAAATAATATTCTAAACAGTATGCAAGCTTTTCCAGTGAAGATATCGATTAACTGTTTTTTGTCCTGGAAAATTGAAGAGGACCGGTCTGTTGCTATGTCCTGACAGAGACGGTGCATGGGCTTTTTAGGGTTTGATGCATCCACATTTACCTTTACAGTGATCAAGTATAAGAACGTTTAACCATGCATGCATTTTCATGAATTAGGATGAACGTTTTCTCAAATATGCTGTAAAGATGCCCACACAGAGGGAGAGAGAGATAGCAGAAATGACTGATAGGTACAGCCTGCACTGCACTATAACAGAAATATTTTAAATAAATATTTTTTTGCCCCAGTTTTTGTATAGTGAATTTTAGGCCCAAATAAAATCGACTATTTTGTTTCATTTTCAGCTGTTACTATAAACAATTATTTATTTTTTCTTATCAAGCTGCACTGGGCCTCAGTCTGGGTGCATTTTCTTATTTCATTTCTTATGCTTAATGTGCATATTAACAGTTTTCAATCACATTTTTTTGTATATGGCCTATGAAAAAATATCTTACAGTAAATAATTTTGTTGCAACACATTTGCATATTTACATGATGTATTTACAATTTGTTTAAATCTCAAGCCTGCCTTTGAATTGCATTCAGACTGAACATTTATTTACTTAATGAAACTGAGATAATTTGTTTATACACACTAAATTTGTTTTTTTAATTTAGAAATCCTCTCATAAATCAAGATATATGCTGAAGAGAAATTTACCATATTTACTTGCATGCCATAATTTAAGTAATGTTTTAAAGTATTATATTAAATAACTTGCACATAAATGTTTAATTACATGTTTGTATGCTGTCTGTTAAATCAGTTGAGTGTCCTTTTAAAAAAGGATTAAATAGGTTAGCTGTGCTTTTTCTGGCATTCCACCCGCCATATTAGAAGCACAGACATGGAGTCATTTTGGATTGGAAAAAAAAGACAAGCCCTTATCACCCTTGTCCAAGTGCACATGTCACAGAATGCACCCATTTTAAATAGTAAATTTCTCAGAAGATAGGCTTAACTGGTAATTGTGGTTTTGCTTTCCTTTCTTTTGGACTGGGGGTGACTGATTTGTACAGCGAATACAGGGTGTGTGAGGAAGGGGGGTATGAGGAGGACAAGGGGCTGTGGGGTAGAGGGGTGGAATGTATGCGTGCTGGGGGCAGAAATCAGCTCGAAAGAAAATTGGGGTATTTAAAAGATCTTTTGAAAGGTATATGGAGAGAAAGGGGTTTAAAAAAAATCAAAAGTGGACACAATGTGAACTGAGAGTAGGGGGTGATGCGTCAAGCAAAGATGACAGAAAAACCATTTTGTGGCCATGCTGAAGGGTTCAATGAAGGCAGTGGTTATTTATAGGAGAGAATAGAGTAAAAACATTGACGGTCGTGTAGCGTACACTCCATGGCAATACAATTTCAAGAGGACACCGATGTCCATTTCAAATCCTCCTCAGCGCTTTGCTAAAATCTCTGTTGGCTGAGCTCGATCTATTGCTTTGCTTGTGAATAGCTTTTCATTCTCTTTGGTCCAGGCAACAGTATTGCAAAATGGCTGCTGCTAGAGACATCTATATGGAAACTTTGAATGGCACAACAGCACTTGTACACTCATTGTGATGAATGCTACATTCGTGCTTGCTGCAGATGCAGGGCCATTCATATCGACAGACTTGGTTTGTTCAACACTGACCTTTTCTCTTGATTCAAAATTTAAATGTTGGTGTTGTGGCAGAAATCAGAATTGTCCAGAGTGCACTATAACAATCCTGTCTTGTATTTTGCTTCCATCTGTGCCATGTTAAACTGACTGTAGGCAGAATAAAGGGGCTGGGATTGCTGATCTTAAACGGTATTCTTTTTGCTGCACAACCGTTTTACCTGAACAGACCTGCAAAAATGAGTCTTAATAAGCAGCTTCCATCAGAATTGTACATTTTACACAGAGAGGTGTAGCTTCCTGAAACAAGGGCTTTTAGGGCTCTGAGGGCTCTGGTCCAGTACAGGCTGCTGAGGTTGTCTCTATGGAGACCTGGGTAATGAGTATTGCTGCAGTGTGGGCTTTGGGCTTGAGCAACACTGTACTTTGTTCAGGTGACCCTGGCAATGCTTCCTGATAGTTTTCATGTAGAACATGTTGCTTCAATACTGATTTAAATGTTTAAAGCTCTGTTCATGTAGTCCTTCATCGATTTATGTAGCTATAGGTGCCTTGTTTGCTTATTATTAGAGAATATATTTAAAAGATTACATTAGTCCACCTATTTGAACTACAGTTCTGGCTTGCAGTGATCATTTATGTACAACACTTACTGTACAGACTCCCATTTTGTTCTGAATTGCTGTTTGCAAATTTGAGGACACATTTGCAAGCTCATCTACAGTAGATATAAAAAAAATTCACAGCTGTAGAGAGTAAAATCTGCTGTAGAGTTTGCTTCAGTGGTGCTTGAGGTTCTAAAGTGCTCTTGCAAAAGTGTCTATTAAAACCTAAATGGAATAGGACCAACATACTCCAGTTATGAAGAGACAGAACTGGGGAAATGGCAGAATGTTGTTTTTGCTCAGCTACACCAGGGGGGGAAATCTGATACATGCTCAATTGGACACTAATAAGCTGTGTAAATATACAGCAATGCTCCTCAATTGCCTATTAGTATCACTCTGTGCATGTGTATTTTTAGCTTTCAGCTTAGGATGGCAAGGGACTGCTGGAGAACTGGTACCTCTGATATTTAAAACATAAGCACTTTCAGTATGACTTAATCCAGACATCGAATATGATTAGTGTAGAAGCAAAATCTAGTTTACCTCTACATTTGTTCCCAGTTCAGATCATCATAGCAACAGAGTGAACACAGGAAACTGTCTCCTATAGCTCTTTCATGCTGAACAACAATTTTGGAGGATTAAAGAAACACCTGAGCATCTGCCACCAGCAGTTCTACTGTTCATTTGGTTCAGGAGTAACCTGTGTACAATACTGATGGTGACATGGGCAGTGATTATTATTATTAATCTAGCTCAGAGAGTAGATCCGGGTCTGTAATAATGATATCAAATAAACAGACACAATTCTGTGGTTCATAACCATCTAACTTTACCAGTTAGGAGCAGCTGATTGATTTCAGCTAATTTATGATTTTTATTATAATGAGGAAAATATTCTAATGAATGTATCTCCCACTCCTCATCAATATGACTAAAATGTTAAGAAATTACAAATCCTGTCCATTTAATACAATTTGTTTTTAGCCAAAGACCAGGAAGGAAGAAGCCATTTTTAAAAGCAAAATTATTTGACTAATTGAATATTCAAAAAAAAAAAAGTTTGCATGTCCACTTTAGTTTTTGTAAGACTGATTTGATCCCTCTTGGCTTGGACACCAGTCTGGTACAAATCTGTGGTGAGATGTTCTGCTTCTTTTCACAAATGATTATTTTCAGCTGCTCTTTGCTGGAGTTTTTTTTTTTTTTACTTTCCCTGTAAAGTCTTTTAAGGTGTTGCATTGCCTTCGATTCAGGGGATATACATGGACAGATCACAGTTTTCACTTTTTCTTTCTTTAAGCTTCTTGAGACTTGGACAGTCCTTTTTATTCAGTATAACAAACTCATTTATTTTAGTTTTATCTGAGCAAAAAACATCATGCCAATATTCATCATTCATGCTTATTGGAAAATTTGACAAAAAGTTGATTCTTGCCATTTTGTGCCATTGTCAGAGCAATACTTTTCTTTCTGGATGTCGTGGTCCATATGGGTTAACATGCAATGTCACTCACATTGTCTGATTCGTCACTGAAATATCATTTTTCACAAAATCCTCACGCCAAGTCAGAAACACGTGTTCATGACAAGCTTGTGTAAATGATGCATTTTCTTTGATTTTTTAAGGGCAGTTACTGTCTTTTGTTAACAAAATCCTCACGCCAAGTCAGAAACACGTGTTCATGACAAGCTTGTGTAAATGATGCATTTTCTTTGGTTTTTTAAGGGCAGTTACTGTGCCTTTTGTTATTGGTACAGTAGTACTGTATGGCTCTTCCTGTACCTCCTAACTACTACTGTAGCTGAGCTTCACCTTATCTTCAGTAGTCTACTGATGCTCTTGTACGCTTTCCCATCTTCATGAAGCGTCACAGTCTGATTTTTTTTTTACATGGTCAGGCATTTCCTCACCATGAGAAGCCATGTTGCATTTCTTAAAACTGAGAAAGCTTTAGTATTCACAGGATCTTTATACCCTGTTCATACAGTTAACTATCACTGGAAATAATTAGTGCAATCAATTTGCACTAGTGCAATTTGTTTGCAGTGATCATACTTGTACTTACTTTTATTGAACTGAAGTTGTACTTTGAGGCCTGTATTTTCAGTCCATCACACCTGTTATTATTACTACCTGTTATTAGAGATAAACTCAAAAACTTTACACTTCAACTAAAGAAATTACAAAATTATTGAATGATGGCATGTTATGGTTTAGTCCCCCTCACCAGGAGGGTGAGGGAGAACTGGGGTTGGACTCAAGATGGCTGACCCAGGTGCTAGTACAAAAAAGGTGGTTTAATGGAATAAAAACAACATGACAACATAACAGGGTCCATAATACATACAAGGGAAGGGCAGTGATGACTAAGGAGACCAGGACGGTAAACACACAAACTAACGACAGGAACTAGGATAGCAGGAGGATGAGAACGGACAGGTGAACAAAAAGAACCAAACAATACAATCCACAGCACAGAGACTAACACCGTGGAAGACAAAGCACGTATTTCTGTGTTGCTAACCGCATAATTAGCGTGATAAGGTCAAGCCAAAACACACAGATACTGTCATCGTAGCATCTTACACACGTCTTTAAAAATGCGGGTCAAACACAAACTTATGTATA